TTTACCTATCATCAACAGGAACTAATGTCTAATGAATGATATACTCCAGATTGGTAAATTCTCAAATGAAATGAGCAGAATTAAGTAAAATCAAGTGGGGCTAGATATGTTTTTGAGCTTAGTAAATTTAAGTGCACAGTTCTATATATTTACCCAAAGGAAAGACTGTGAAAGTGGTCATGTCCTTGTTAGGGAGGTAGACTTAGAAAGTGTGTGTGTGTGTTTGTATGATAGGACTGGGGCTCGAACTCATGTCCTTTAGCCTTTTCACTCAAAGCTGGTGTTCTACCACTTCAGCCATGACTCCATTTCCAGCTAATTGGAAATAAGAGTCTCGCAGATTTTCCTGCTCTAGCTGATGTCAGACTGATCCTCAGATCTCAGCCCTCGAGTAACTAGGATTACAGGTTTGAGCCACATACAACCAGTTTAAGCTACAACCATGCTTTCACTTTGTGGCCCTAGATTTAAGTGCATCTGTCCTTTTGATTGAGCACCGAGGTCCTCAGGACTTTAGTGAGTTTTACTGAGAACAAAACAATTTAAAACAAACAAACAAACAAAAACCAGCTTCTTTTCTGAGAGGCCCAGGACAGAAAGGCTTGGAATGTCCCTCTAACCCAAAGCAAACCTAGTACTCGGTGATTTCGTTCAATCACAAGTTGCCCTTCTTTGGAGCTGGGCCCGCTGCTTTTATTTTTCATCTTTCCATGCTCTGAGGTCTTTTGTAACATTTAAAGTGGTAGCCCGTGGTTTGGGGAGGCCATTAGCCCATTCAGTTCTCTCTACAGCATCTACCTGCTGAGCTGTTGTGTTCTGCCAGTCCTCCAGGGGCCTGTAGCTGGGTCTGAACTGGCAACTACTTAGAGAAGGCTTTCTGTTGTATCCAAACTGTTCATTTCTCCTTCATCTGTTCTATCAGATGGAATGAAACAAAAAAGCAAAGTTGTTCATATCTTTCCTGTTAACTGAGCTCCTTGCTATTCTTTTGATCTGTTTAACTTATGTGCTTAATAGTACCTTTTTTTTTTTTTTTCTTGGTCGGTTGTGGGTCATAAACTCTGGGCCTGGGCGCTGTCCTTCAGTTCTTCAGCTCAAGGTAAGCACTCTGCCACTTGAGCCACAGCGCCACCTCCAGTTTTCTGATGGTTAATTAGAAACAAGAGTCTCACGGACTTTGCTGCCCAGGCTGGCTTTGAACCATGATCCTCAGATCTCAGCCTCCTGAGTAGCTAGGATGACAGGCGTGAGCCACCAGCACTCGGCAGTTCTATGGTTTTTAATCTAGCTTCCCTTCCACTTACTTTGACAGACAAAGCAGACAAGAGTTTAGGAAATGAATATTTAATCATCCTCTTGAATGGTCAGAACTCTAAAATTCAGGTTTTTTACAATGCAATGTAATAGAGTGTGGCAGGAACGATGGTGCTAGGCAGGCAATGGTCACCGACGGGAAGCGTGGAGAGGGCTGGAAGTGAACTTACTTCCATCCCAGCTTCTTTCCTCCACAGGGTCATTACCCACTTTCTTCCAGAAGTCTCTGTGAGGTCCAGGGTACAGCTCAGTGGTGGAGGGCTTGCCCAGCATGCACAAGCTTTGATCTCTAGAAGTCTCTGCATTTCAAGGAACATATCTGGTACCTGAATTTCAGTTTCAGAGTGGCAGGGTCCTGAGATCTAACATTCAGAGTAACAAAGTTTGAGACAGAATTTGGGGTGCTTGTTGAGCTTCTGGGTGAGAACAAGGGAGAGGAATTTCGAGGCACAAGTTGCTGAACATAACCCCAGCCTGATATTTCCATATGGCTTGTCCGTTCTGTTCATTGAAAGATATCACCCTGTTTTACCTACTCTGTGCCCAGGCAGGAGTCAAAGAGACAGAAGCCGAGGCCCGTTTCTAGGAAGCAAGCAGATCGGTTCGTTCCCAGACCTATCAACGCCGCATCAGTTTCTTGCACTTGGCGCAGCTGACTTCCAGGGCTGGAGAATTCCATGCAGTGGGGAGGAGCTGTGGGCACATGCGCAAGAAGGCAGTGAGCAGCCTCCCTGAGCTCTACCCACCTGGGCCCGCAGCGCCACCTGTGGCTGCCAAGTCCAGTGAGCCACTGAAAAGCTGCAAGTGGAGGTCTGGTTCACGTGGTAGAGCTCCAGCCTTGAGGAGAAAAAGCTCAGGATGAGTGCCCAGGCTCTGGGTTCAAGCCCCAGTGCACACACATGGTCATTGTCATCTGAGAAGAAAAATGGCATTTGCTCAAAAACGAGAAAATGCTCCGATCATTTAGAAAATCAGTGCCACTCAACAACTACTTCGTGGAGGCTGAAATGGGGATGATTCTCCCATGGCTGGCGCTGTCCATCAGGAGCCGCAGCGGTCATCTTTGTCTTCAGGCAAACATGGCCCCTCTGAGCGGGGCAGTGGCAGCTGCTGGCGGCCTCGGACCTTCCACAGCGCCCAGGCCCCTCCCTCCCCTGAGTTTGTGGATAAAGGCAGGAACCTAGGCAGCCGTCTCCATGGGCGTTTTACTTAGCACTCTGAACTTTCCTCCCAGCTTCCACCCTGTGTCTTGTTCCTATTGAAGTCTTGTGTGGGTTGCTTTGGTTGGATTCTTGTGTCTTCTTCCTCTCTCCAGACTTCTAGACATGATTCATTTCTCCCCAGACATACAAAACTAGGTCGTAATGTGGCAAAATAGGTCTGTAGATCTCTGGGATTCTAGAAAATACAGCAAGAAGACAGCATTACAGCCACTCAGCCATGGTGTACTGAAAACCAAGTGTCTCTGCCAATGTGAGCATACTGCTTGCTAAAAATGGATTTCCACGTGGACCCTGGGTATGAGGGAGGGGACTCATCTTAAGATCTCCTCTTAAAGGATGGCATCCAGTGATGTCTCGGAAGAGACCCCAAGGGACATGGAATGCACCGGCTCCCGGGGTTCTCAGCCAGGGATTGTGTGACTGGAAATGTTACCCCCAGAGGTAGCTGGCCCGTCCTTTTACTTAATCCTAGCTACTCAGGAGGCTAAAATCTGAGGACCATGGTCCAAAGCCAGCCTAGGAAGGAGAGTCCATAAGACTTTTATCTCCAGTGAACCACCAGAAATCTGCAAGTGTCTGCGGCTCAAAGTGGTAGAGCTTCAGCCTTGAGCAGAAAAGCTCAGAGACAGTGCCCAGACCCTGAGCTGAAGCTCCAGTACTACTCTACACACACACAGACACACACACACACCAAAACTAATAACAACAAAAACCCCACAGTGCTGTTGAGCACTTGGTTCCTTGGAGGCTGAGATCTGAAGTGTGAAGCTAGCCTAGTAAAGTCCCAGAGACTCCATCTCCAAAATAACTGATTAAAAAGCCAGGTTGGAGGCATGACTCAAGTAGTAGAGCACCAACCAAGTGAACTAGAGGCCCTGAGTTCAAGCCCTAGTGCTATCACAGTAAAAGAAAACTACCATGGTAAAGGGATGGAAGGAAAGGAGCGAGAGCTCTTGCAGCCTTGCTGGGGGAGTCTCCCAAGGCCCACCGTGGAGGAAGGGAGGCGGAGCCGGCGAGTTCCTGGCGGTCTCCCTGGTGTAGGACCACATTGCTTGCAGAGGAAGAGGAAGGAGGAAAGGAAGCAGGCCCACCGACCTTGGCCTGGGCTAGCTTCGAACCGGAGGGCCTAGTGATCTAGACAAGGAGTATAAGATGGAAAATGCATGAAAGCCAGGAGGCTGTAGGGGCCTCGGGAATGGGGGTGGGGTGGGGTGGGGGCTCAGCCAGGAAGCCCCGTCCTCAAGGGGGGGAAGGAAGCCAAGGCTGAGAATTGCCCTGGAGTAGGGCAGACCTCCAGGGAGGGGCAGAGGGTGAGAGACAAGGCTGATAGTGGAGAGGAGCATGCAGGGAGCTCATGGGAGGAGCTCCCGATGCTGGGGCACAGCCGAGACGTCCATCCTGATGCAGCAGTGCCCACACCGCCAGTCCAGGGTCCAGAGGGAAGAAATGCTGGGAAAGAGTGTTTGAATATGCTTTCGTTTTGGTCCCTTGTTTCCGGTCACTTCAAACAGAGGGGGAGAGCAGGAGAGAGCAAGCGAGCAAGCAAGAGGAGAGCAAATACCAGGAGCGGTGGTTCATCAGGTGGTGGTACTGTGCGGTTCGAGCCCTGGGACCCGTGCTTGCTGGACGCCTGTGGGTGCAGCTTCCCCCAGTCCCCTTTGCTTTCCTTATTTATCTTGTGGGGGTCTTCATTTTTGCCTCAGGCCAGTCTTGGACAGCAGTCCTTCCTTCTGCCTCCCAGACGACTGGGATTACAGACACGAACCACCCCTTGCAGCTGGGGTCTCACTGAGTTTTTCTTCCCCACCCAGTGACCTCCTGCAGACGTCTGCCTCCCACATGGCCAGGCTCACGCTGCCACGGCCGGCCTGGCACAAGGCGGATCTGAGAGTGCTGGGGACCCACGTGGAGGAGGGGAGATGTGGCCTGGCCAGGGCCGTGAGCCCGGGGCGTGCTGCCCATGACTCCAAATCAGGTGCTGTGCAGCCCAGAGCTCCAGGAGCTGGGCCTCCCACAAAGGTCACACGCAGGAGATGATGGAGGGAGGAGGAAACGTCCTAACAGCCATCCACCCAAGAACTGAGAGGTGAGAAAGGGTGATTTGGGGGAAGGCGGAGGGGCGTGCTGCAGCACCATCCCACTCCCTGAGCCAGAAACCTCAACCTCCCAAGGCCCCACGCGTGAGTGGTTCTGTGCTTTGTCCATCACAGCGGAATCCAGGGTCATTCATCAAAGCCAAACACCTCTTACCCTGGAATAAGAAAACTTTGCCTTCATTAATGACGTAGTATAGGCAGAGAGGTGTGGGTACACACCAGGACTCTAAATCCGAGGATGAGCTCTCTCCTCTGTCCATCACCAACACAAATGATGCCTGCTGGCCGGGCAATCTACCAGACCCCTGGGGATCCATCTCACCTGTTGAATAAGTCACGTTTCGCATGCTGGTGAGGCCAGGGCCGATTATTTGAGCATCAGAGGGAGGAGCGTCCAGCCGAGGGGACAGAAGGCAGCTGCGCCCGGGGAGGCCTTGGAGTTCAGCAGCTGCAGTCGACTCTGCCGCTTGATCTCTGAGTCTGGAAAGGAGAGAAAGATGCTCTAGGGTCTCCTCAGAGGGGCCCTGTGTCCGTGTCACGTGGCCAGCCGGTGAGGACAAACACAGCAGATGCTTCCTCATACAGCCGGTTTTGTCTTTATGCGCTCGGAACGGGGTTGACCTCTGGGCCCCACAGTCTCCCTTGTCTTTCTCATTCCAAGCTGGAGCTCTATCACCTGAGCCACAGCTCCGCTTCCTCAGTCCTTGAGGAAGCAGTGGGACAAGGTGCAGGGCCTTCTTGCCCAGTTATCAGCCAGCGTGCAGGAGGCAAGGCCAGGCTTCCCTGGCCCAGGATCAGTGAGATTGTTGGGAAGTCTAACTAGGGATTATTCAGAGGAAGTCAGAGGCTAGGCCTTTCACCTTCCCATTCAGAGCCTTCTCAGGGCAGGGCAGGGCAGGGCAGAGTGGGTTTGGAAGAACTCGGGCTACAGTTCACTGCTAGAAGGACCAAAGAGGTTAGATGATCATCCTGCGTAGGACTGCAACAAAGCAGTACCGAGTTACAACACAGTGCCCTGAGGCCCTAAGCACAGCTCTCCTAAGACTGCCCTAACCTCCACGCTGTGCACACTGTGAACACAGCTGAGGCTGAAGTTGCAATCAAGAACACTGGAGGACTAAGATGAGCGGATCTGTGCCCTGGCACCAATATATATGTAAGACGTTAGGCTTTCATTGTACTATTTTTTCCCCCATGAGCCCACACAGAGAGCAGGTGGAGGCGTGCAGGCGTAGCTCTGTGGGAGAGAGCTTGCCAGGCTCACACCAGGCCCCGGTCCCACAGCACCCGCCCCGCCGGGAAGCGCACCTGTCACTTTGATATCCCCCGTGGCCTTGGCAATGTCGTTCTCGATGACGCAGGAGTAGGTGTGGTTGACTGTGGCATTGTAGAGCACCGACACCACCTTCAGGGTCACGTTCTCTGAGTTCAGCTCGAAGCTGGTGTTGGACACTTGGGAGAAGTCGGCCCCCTGGTCCACCTGGGATGTCCAGGCCACCGTGGGCTGGGGGAGCCACCTGGGGGCCTCACAGCGCAGGCTCTCGGAGCTGGTGTTGAAGTCCACGTTCATCTCTGGCATGCTGAAGGCTGGGGCCAAGGTCGGAAGGGCAAATGTCAAGGTCACACAGGTCAGACAGCATAGCCTTGAAGTGCTAGGTCTTAGAAACAGAAAGGGTTCTCCCTCCCTTCCTCTCTCTCTCTCTCTCTCTCTCTCTCTCTCTCTCTCTCTCTCTCATACTGGGGCTTTACTTCAGGGCCTGGGCACTGTCCTTTAGCTTTTATGTTCAAAGCTGGTAGAGTACCTACCACTTCCACTCCTGGCTTTTTGTTGGCTAATTGGAGATAAAAGTCTCACACACTTTCCCGTCCAGGCTGGCTTCGAACCTCAGTCCTCAGATCTTAGCCTCCTGAGTAGCTGGGATTATAGGCGTGAGCCACTGGTGCCCAGCGCCAAGGGTTATTTCTAACACCGAAGTGCCTCAGCCACACACAGAGGGCTCTTTCCCGTGGGGTGTGCTGTATTGTAGACACAAATAACGGGTGTGTTGCTGGACATCACAAGCTTTTGGCCAATATCACCAGTTCTAAGGATCTAAATTCTAAGTACATTGTTGAAAAAAGCAGGTGATTTCTTCAATCCAAGTTGTCCAGAGATTACAAATGAACCTGGTCTTTAGGACGATTTACTTGGAATGTATTTGTAAGGGAGATTTGTTTTTTTTTCCTCTGATTTATTATTTGCACACTTATTTTATACTTTGCATCATAATTCAATACTGGATTATTTCATTGCTTTGTTTCAGCCTTACTGCTGGAAGCTTCCTCCACTGGTCTCTGGTAGCCTTGACACGATCACATAAATCCCTATCTTTCTTTTTCACGAGTACTGGGGCTTAAACTCAGGGCCTTGTGCTCTAACTCAGCTTTCTGGCTCATGACTAGCGCTCTACTCCTTGAGCCATGCCTCCTGTCCAGCTTTTTGCTGGTTAATTGTAGCTAGTGATGTGAATATTTCTGTCAAAGCTGGCTTCAAACCATGATTCTCAGATCTCAGCCTCCTGAGTGGTTTGGATTACAGGCGTGCGCCACGGATGCCTGGCTCTCATCTTAAATTAAAGGAACCGAGGCTCAGAAGGTGATTTTACCAGAACCTCAGTGTTTGCCCAGGTATGGCTCTGGATCTGTGCCTCAATCCTTCCTCATATGTGCTGTGATGCGCTCCTGAGAACCTTTGCAGCGCTCCCTGCCCATCCTTCAAGGCGCCTCTCACACATCACCATCTGGGTGTGGTTGGCCAACACGGCCTTGCCCATCTGGAAGAGCTTGCTCAGGACCTCTCCTGTTCCCCTGGGGCATCGGACACTCTCCCCCCTATCTGCTCAGCTCCCCCTTTTTTTTCTGTTGGTCGTGGGGCTTGAACTCTGGGCCTGAACACTGTCCCTCAGCTCTTCAGATCAAGGTGAGCGCTATACCACTTGAGCCACAGCACCACTTCTGGTTTTCTGAGTGGTTTAATGGAGGTAAGAATCTCATGGACTTTCCTGCCCGGGCTGGCCTTGAACCTTGATCCTCAGATCTCAGCCTCCTGAGTAGCTAGGATGAGAGGTGTGAGCCTCCAGCACCCAGCTGCCTTGCCCTTTAACGCTCTAAAGTCTATCCCAGCAGGGAGAACTGCTTTGCTTTTTCACTCCTCTCTGCATTCTTCGCTGCATCCACTGCAGTGCCTTGACACCTTCAGAGACGGTGTGTCAGACTTGGTCAGTAAGAGAGGAGAGAGTCCTCACGAGACAGCGCTGTCTCCGTGCTTCCCTCTGGGTCTGTATGTTAATTTCTGAATTTTGTCTTTCTATAGTATTGGTGACATTTCTGTATTAATTTCTATATTGTATATTGAATTCCTCTCGGCACTAATTTCTAAAATAGATTCCAGGCTCGTGGGTGTCTGGAGACCGCGTCGCAGATGTGGGCACAGAGCTCTCACAGGCACAGGTGCTCCCTCTCCCCCACCCCCAGCCTCCATTCTCTGTTGTTTTTGGAGGCAGGGTCTCAGTACCTAGCCCAAGCTAGCCTTGAACTCACGGTCTTCCTGCCTCCACTCCCAAGTGTTTCTAGGTATGCACCACCACGCTTCTCTTATTAGCACTGGTGGGGCTGTTGTCAGCTGTCACTCGTCCGCAGCCACTGCGGGCTGAGCTGTAACGGTTTCATGATGACCTCAGAGGCCATCTTTGCCTCCTCTGAACCCGAAGAGATGGTGCAGCCTCTCAGGGACATGGTTAGAGCGAGGGAGAGGTGTCTAGCTGGGGGTGGGAAGTCGTCCTGTTGCAGTGGGGTTGGAGTGGAGGTGGCTGCTGGCAGAACTGAGGCAGAACTGGCACAGGCATTTCATGGGGGCTCACACCCGTTCCGGAATGGGCTCACCTCCGGTCTTGTACTCCAGGTGTGCGCTCCCCTTGCCTTTGGAGGTGACGATGAGACACTGGTAAGTCCCAGCGTCTGTCAGCCTCACGCTTTTGAGCCTTAGAGAGGCGTTACCGACAATGACCTGATCTGAGAACAGCGCCGTGCGGCCTCGGAACGCCTCGTGCTGCTGCGAGAGGTCGTCCCGGCCACCCCGGAACTCGTGGACGGAGCCCGCTGTGCCCTCCTTCTGCCACTGGATGATGATGCCGTTGAGCTTGATGTCAGGTTCAAACGTGCAGCTCAGGATGCTGTCCTCTCCCAGGTTGCCTGCCGACGTAAACGTGGTCACCACGATGGAGTGTCGCCCTGGGGGTGAGGGGGTACAGCAAGGGTCACTGGGTCAATGCAGGGCAATGTTGGGCGCCGGTGGCCACGCCCCATATCCACTAAGGCCACATGGACTTCTGTGGTCGACTAGAAATAGGGCACGTAAAAGCATTTGTGAAAACAGAATCCTTTAAATGTTTTGGCGCTCATGCCTCCTACCTGTAATGTTAAGTTACTCAAGAGGCTGAGATCTGAGGATGGGCAGATAAGTCTGTAAGACTCTTATCTCCAATTAACTACCAAAAAGCTAAAAGTTGTGCTGTGACTCAACTGGTAGAGTACCAGCCCTGAGTGAAAAAGCTAACAAAGATTAGCCTGACCCTCAATTTAAGTCCTAGCACCAGCACACACAAAAAAGCAGTGTTTCTGGGCACCAATGGCTCACGCCTGTCATCCTAGCTACTCAGAAGGCTGAGATCTGAGAATCAAAGTTCAAAGCCAGTCCAGGTAGGAAAGTCTGTGAGACTCTTAGCTCCAATAAACCACTCAGAAAACTGGAAGTGGTGGGTAGAGCACCCAGGCCCAGAGTTCAAGCTCCATCACACACACACACACACACACACACACACACACACACACACACACACACAAGCATTGGAGACAACCAATTCACTGCTATTAAGAAATGATGGGCAAAGCTACCACATCTAAAATTTGGGGGGAAATATGAGCCACTGAAAAAAGAAGGTCACAAAAACACATGAAGAATCCAGGTGGCAGTATCTCGTGGCTGTAATTCTAGCTACTCAGGAGGCTGAGATGTGAGGTTTGTGGTTCAAAGTCAACGTGGGCAGAAAAGTCTATGAGACACTTTTCTCCAGTTAGTCAGCAAACCCCCAAACTAGAGGTGTGACTAAGTGGTAGAGTGCCAGCCAGCTTAGCCTGAATTTACCGCTCACCAAAAAGTTCCTCAATAAAACATGGACCAACTATGTTAGAGCGAGGTTAACATTGTGCTTCTTAAAGCGCCGTTCAAGGTGATTTGAAAAATTACTTAGCATTGTTCATGGAGGAAATAAAACCATGACACGACTAAGCTGGTACTTGTGTAAGCTGAGTTAATTCAAATATGTAGGCTTTGAGCCACGGGTGGGAATACATAGAAATCTCTCCTAGAGAAGTTGCTGATGTGAAGTTTGGAGTTGCCACAGGCAGGTTTTAGGCATCTAAGGCTGTATTAATGATGTGGTCGATAAAGATATGTAATGTTGATGAAATCCCCCTTCCCATCAAATAAAGGAGAATACAAGCCAAGGAGCATGTAGCCATTGCTTTGCACCCATAAAAATCAATAAAATCAAGTGTGCAAATGTGTGTGTGAGTGTGTATGTGTGTATGTACCTGTACTGGGGCTTGAAGTCAGGCAATGGATGTTGTCCCTAATTTTTTTTTCTACTCTAGGCTGTCATTCTACCACTTGAGCCACACCTCCACTTGAGTGTGTGTGTGTGTGTGTGTGTGTGTGTGTGTGTGTGTGTGTGTGTGTGTGTTATTGGTTAATCACAGATATGCGTCTCTTGGATTTGTCTGTCTGAGGCTGGCTTTGAACCGTGATCCTCAGATCTCAGCCTTCTGAGTAGCCAGGATGGCAGGTGTGAGCCCTGGGTGGCAGATGTGATTGGTGTGTTCACAGCAAAGGGGAGGGATTGTGCCAAGGCGGAACTCCCATACCTGAAATACCAAAGCCAATGATGAGTGCGATCGCCCCAGCCAGGATGATGATGGCGTTGATGATGCTGTAGAAAGAGACAGAGACAGGAAGTGACCTCATCATCCCACGGGGCCCAGCCACGGCAGTCCTGGGTAAGATGTACCACACAGAGCACGTCAGCCTTTCTTTCACAGGAGCAGCTTCGAAGACATAGGAAGGGGTCCCACGCTCCGGCCCTGGGATGGGTGGGTGAGCCTTTATCCCATTGCCATCTTTCTTCCTGATTTCCAGACCCGAGAAGACAGGTGCCCGGGGACGGGATGCTGCTAGCTCCCCTGCATCTCGAGGCCCACCCTGAGGACTACAGCCTGCCCTTGGCTGCCATTTGTTGTCTTTTTTATTTTTTTCCACCAGTCCTGGGGCTTGAACTCAAGGTCTGGGCGCTGTTCCTGAGCTTTTTTTTTTTTTTTTTTTTTTGCTCAAGGCTAGTGCTCTACCACTTGAACCACAGCTCCATTTCCAGCTTTTTAGTGATTACTTGGAGATAAAGAGTCTATAGACTTTCCTGCCTGGGATGGGCTTCAAGCTGTGATCCTTAGCCCTCAACCTCCCGAGTAGCTGGGATTATAGGCGTGAGCCACTAGCATCCATCTCCCAACGGTTTCTAATGAACAGACTAACAAATGGGAAAGAGTAGAGCTTGACATCTGCCCATGTACGTGTGGGTTGAACTGCAGACCCGCTGTTCTGAGCAGCCTTACAGCGTCTGTCACGTACCCACACAAAGACAGGTAACCCCATCCATTGGCTTCCTTTTCTAGATGAAGAAATGACACAAGAATTCATCTCCCTGAAGCACGCAGCAGAGCTGAGGTTAAAATCCATCCTCAACCTCTCCCAGCTCCCCCTGGCAGTGCTCCCAAGGTCCCGTCTCCTCTCCTCCCTAGCTGAGGCTGGGAGGAAGGAGCCAAAGGCGGGGGGGGGGGGGGGGGGGTGTCAAAGAGGGTATTGTGGGAAGCGGGCCCTGGGGTGGCTGTGGTGTCAGATCTCACACGCTGAAAACACACCCACACAACAGGCCACGGGACAGTCCAGACAAAGGAAAGGCAGGGGGAGGCCAAGAATGAAGGCACAGAGAGCAGGGGAGTGTGCAGCATTTTACTCTGGGTCCTGTAGAGCGCATTGTGCTCCCTCCCTCCGCTCCAAGAGGGGCTCACCGGAGGGGACCAGCTGGGGGAGAAGTTCTCCTCCCTTCCACAGGCCTTCAGCCACAGGTCCCCATTTCCCGAGGTCAGACCTTGGAGCAGCACTGGCGGCTCTTAAAAGCAGGACCTCTGTTCCAGTACTCGTGGCTCACACCTGTAATCCCAGCTACTTGGGAGGCTGCGATCTGAGAATCATGGTTGGAAGTCAGCCCCGCCAGAAAAAAAAAGTCTGTGAGACTCTTATCTCCAATTAGCCAGCAAAAGTCAGAAGTGTTGCTGTGGCTCAAGTGGTAAAGCACCAGCCATGAGTAAAAAAGCTGAGGGACAGCACCCAGGCCTTGAGTTCAAACCTTAGAACTGGCAACAAAACAAAGCCCCAAAACTAACCCAAGGCTTCTGCTCAGTCTTTGACCCCTTACCCTCTCACCTCAGTGCTCTTGCAGATCTCGGGGTACAGGGGTGTTGGGGGAAAGCAGGGGGGTGCTGGGGTGTGGACATGCAGTGCCGGCCCCGCGAGGCTCTCACTGACAGGTGGGTAGAGAGCGGCTCCAGGGCCCACATACTGAGGCTTGAACTCAGCCTGGGAGCCCTCTCTCAGCTTCTTTGCTCAAGGCTGGTACGCTACCACTTGGCCCACAGCTCAACTTCTGATTTTATTTTTTTTACTGGTGAATTGAGCACACTTACAGACTCATCCATCCGGTCTGGCTTTGAACTGTGAGCTCAGATCTCAGCCACCCGAGGTGCTAAGATGACAGGTATGAGCCACAGGGCAGCTGACTGTCTGAATTATCCTGTTGCATTTTACAGAAGCCCAATGTGTTCTCAGTCTCAGGCTACGAATCAGCTGAGGTTTATACAGTTACTGCCACGGGAAGAACTATGTACCATGTTACACAGATTGAAAGCAACAAAAAAAAAACTCATCTTCTTAGCAGGTACCTTTCATTGAAGACTGATTCAGGAGGAACACAGATAGGGGAAGATGAGGTAGAAAATTCCAGAACACTGATAAACAGATACCTGTGCTTTAACAGTATTTGAGTTGGCAGCACAATCATCCCTTTTCATGGAAAACCTCCTTCTATTTATCACTGTGCGGGAGCCACGAATCAGGCTCCTTCTTCTCCTGACTCGGGGACAATGCACCAGCAGGAACAAGGCCAGGCCAGGACACCCTGGGTCTCCCTCCCTGCCCCATCCCACTCAGACCTGTATTACCTGTTGCTCTTTATTCTCACTGCAGAGAAAAAAGAGAGTTCCAGAAGATTCCTTCAGTGGTATAACTGACTCCATTGTGTTTAATAAAAGAACAAGCACCTTTAGGCTTTTGCTGGCCCTCCTGGGACATGCTCAGACACACAAGGTGTGCCCCAGTGAGGCACAGAGCCTGCAACCCTACTATTCAGGAGGCTGAGAGCTGAGGATTGAGGTTCAAATTTAGCCCAGGCATGAAAATCCATGAGATTTTTATCTTCAACAAACCACCAGAAAACCAGAAGTGGCACTGTGTGGCTCAAAGTGGTAGAGTGCTAGCCTTAAGCAAAAAAGCTCAGGGACAGTGCCAGGTCAAGCCCATGACTGAGAAAACAAAACAAAAACCCTTCCCAGAGACTGTGTATATACAGGTGACAATTATTCAAGTGTTAGGCAAGCATCCACAATGCCCCTAGTCCCATACAACCCTAAACCAAGAAATAACTTCAAATGGTTCCCTGTTGGTGAGGTTCCAATGCTTAACAGAAGCAAGAGCAAATATTTGCTGAGGAAATGTACTGTTTAGCCCAGACTTCAAAGAACCTCAGGTGATAAAATTCCCCCAAATAAAAACTCATAAAAATATCAAGCCAGGCTGGTGGCTCATGCTGATAATCCCAGTTAATCAGGAGGCTGAGATCTGGGGATCACTATTAGAAGCTAGCTGGGGCATGAAAGTCCATGAGAGTCTTTATTTCCAATTAACCACCAAAAAGCAGAAGTGGAGCATGGCTCAAGTGGTAAAGTGCTAAACTTGAGCAAAAAAGCTCAGGGACAGTGCCCAAACCCTGAGTTCAAGTACCAGGACTGGTATATGTACACACACACACATATACACACACATATACATACATACATACATACAAAATCACAAAATCAACAAGGAAAACACTACTATGAGAGGGAGTTGATATAAATTATGGACAGATTTGGAAACAGAAAGACTTCAGATGCAGAAACTTAAAGAGTATAAAATAAGCCTTTTTCATCCAAATAAATCAATCTGGAAATGGATAGCCTACATATGGAACAACAGATTACAAAGCTGACCAGATGGACGTGAAGAAGAACTGAACGGACATGTAGAAATAAAAAATAGGCTGCGAAGGTGGCTCAGTGGCAGAGTGCTTGCCTAGCATGCATGAGGCCCTGGGTTCCATTCCTCAGTACCACATACACAGAAAAAGCCACAAGTGCTGTGGTTCAAGTGGCAGAGTGCTAACCTTGAGCAAAAGAAGCTTAGGACAGTGCAGAGAAGGAGAAAAATTTCCAAGACATAAAAAAAAGACAATCTTTCCCAGTACTGATGAGATTGAGGAAGCTCAATGAATCAGGAAAAAAAAAATCTGTGTCTGTCATCTATCTCTATCTATCTATCTATCTATCTATCTATCTATCTATCTATCTATCTATCTATCTTTACTTCTCAGTGAAACAAGAAAGACCATGAAGATCCTAAACATGGCAGGAGACGGGACGAGTCTCTGAGAAAGGAAGGGCAATGCGAAAGATGGTGTACTTTCCAAGGGAACCCAGGAAGCCAAAAAAAAAAAAACGATGGTACTGCTGTCTTCCAGGTGCTGACAGGAAATGAGAGCTATGACGTCCAGTGAGGTTTGGGACTTGTAGAAATCACAGTGCCCACATTAAGACTTCACATCCATTAGGATGGTGACGAGGTGCTGTGTGAACACTTAGCAGCGAGGTTTGCACCTTCACCAGGGGTCCATACAGACTTGGCGATCAACCAGCACATTACTCTGTGGTCTCTTCTTCAGGTTGTATCTCCTTAAATGATACCTTGTTTGCATTTCACGTGAAAAATTCCCATTAGCAACCAAATGCAAATGCACATGTGGACAGCAGCGCGGGCTGGGCCGGGGCTCCGTGGCAGAGCTGCAGCCCAGCGAACACAGCCTGAGTTCCATCTCTAGTGCAATGATGACAATGAGAGGAAGGAAGAGCAAGGGGGAAAAAAGGGGAAAGACCAAGGAAAAGAATGTTCTAGAAGCACTGAGTTAGTCCTGTCCAGGCTCCTGCCTCACCGTACTCTGAATCTATTAAGCAGGGAGCCCAGCAGCCACCCTTGTAATTCCAGCACCCTTGTAGTTCCAGGCTGAGACGAGAGGCACAGGAGTTGGAGACCAGCCTGGGCTGCGTAGTGAGATCCCGCCTCAAAACAACACAACCCAACACACACAGTTGAATATTGGCAATGTCAGAGAGCCCGGCAGCTCTGACCCGGTTACAATGTCCGCACCCTCAGCCCTCACCACGCCCTTCTGGGCTGCCAGCAAGGGGAAGACCTCCATTGGGCAGCGGGGGAATCCCGCCAGGTGGCAGCCTTGGGTTCCTGGAGGGCTGGCCCCACGTGGCAAGGCCAGGGTGATGAGGGCACCCAAGCATGCGTGCCCTATGAGGGGGACAGCGCCACAGCCGCACCAAACAGAAGATTTTTATTTTTATTTCTGTCCATTGTGGGGCTTGAACTCGGGCCCGGGCAACTGTGACTGGCGCCCAGCAGAGCGAAGGGTTTTTGTTGTTTTTTTTTAAGTGTAAAATTACATTAAAATTGTACTACATAGAGATTCCGTGGTAAAGGTAGATTATAAAGGGTAACTACTGCATTCATAACTATTTAAAAATTATCTGCAGGTTGCTGGGTTTGAAAAGGGTCATAAAGAGAAGGAAATAGTCACAATAATGGCAAAACCATGGGTGACCCTAGATTTTGTCTTTCCAATAGTCTCAAGTGATATTATTATTACTTCTTTATACTAACAAAGAAAGATCTTTGAGTCTATAAAAGTATGTCCTCTAGGGAAATCCCAGGAACCTTCTCCTCATCCTCTCCAGAGAGAAGAATATTCTCAATAACACCAGCCAAGAACCATCTGTCCATCTGTTCTCTATCTACCCATCAACCCTCATCCACCCATCCATCTGTCCATCTATTCATTCTCTATCTACCCATCATCCCTCATCTATCCATCCATTTTCCATCCATCTTCCAACCACCCATCATCCATCTTATCTATGCATTCTCCATCCATCCATCATCCATCCATCCATCATCCATCATCTATCTATCATCCATCAATCTATATAATCTACCATCCATCTGCTCATCCATCATCCATCTATATGTCATGACTTGAGACCTCAAGTATGCCTACATAGCCCATCTACACCACAAGCCCCTCCCAGACTCCCCCTCTCCCCCCTGCCCCATGGCTCCCAGACCCTCCCCCCCCCCCCCCAGTGCCCCATGGCTCCTTTCTGGAGTTTTTTGAAGTTTTGAATAGGATTCACACATTGAAATGCTATTTATCAATGATAATTAGCTTTCTCAGCAAGGCCTCTAAAGCACACTGAATCTCAGTGTTTCAGAACTATGTATTTATCAGTGGGAAAGAAATAGTACAAAACACTAGTTACATCAAAATACTATGTTACAGCTACTGAATAGACTGCCAAGAGTTTTGTTTGTTTTTTTGGGTCCGGTCTTGGGGCCTGAACTCTGGGCCTGGGCGCTGTCCCTCAGCTCTTCAGCTCAAGGCTAGTGCTCTACCACTTGAGCCACAGCGCCACTTCTGGCTTTTTTCTTTTTGCTTATGTGGTGCTGAGGAATCGAACCCAGGGTCTCGGGTATGCAAGGCAAGCGCTCTACCACTGAGCCAACTTCCCAGCCCTGCCAAGAGTTTTGTGAACTTGGATTAAGCTCCACTCACTTTTTAGTTCTCTTCTGCTACTGGGGCTTGAACTTGGGGCCTGCCCGGGCACTTTCATTCAAGGCTGTTACTCTACCACTTGAGCCACACTTCCACTTCCAAGTTTTTGCTGGTTCAGTGGAGATAAGACTCTCACAGACTTTCCTACCAGGGCAGGTTTTGAACCATGATCCTCAGATCTCAGCTTCCTGAGTAGTTGGGATGACAGGCGTAGCCTGGCTCTGCGGGTCTTCAGAGGATAGCAGGCGTTTCTCATAAGCTCTGCCATAACTCTGTGGTCCTGACAGCTGGGGTAAGAGGTTCTATTATGGAGTCAATGAATTATAGCAGTGAAAGGCATGCTGTCAGGGCCAGCAGAGACCCCGAAGGTTCCCAGGCCCTGCCCCCTGCCCTCCCCCCCCCCCCCCAATGTCTTCCCACTAAAGCTGCTCATGGTCTCTTTTCCCAAAGTCAACTTATGTGCAGAAAGATCTGCGCTGCCCCCCTTCCCCCCTCCCCCCCTCTGGCCTGTCCCTGCCTTTGCAACTGCCAAAGAGCTCCCCGGCAGCCAGGGCAACAAGGCAACAAGAGAGGCCTGTGGACTGGGACCGGGGTGCACGCCCACCTCTTGCTAACTCTATAGCGAAGCCAGTCAGGCGGGTTGTGGCGTGTTATTAGAAAGCCCACACGCCTGTCCGTGGCACACAGGCCCGCTTGTTCCGTGTCTCCTATCCGGGAGACCCACGCTAGAGGAGTGGGGCCAGGGATCTGGGGTGGTCGTAGTACAGACAAGTGCAGCCCGAGGTGGAGAGCTTGGGGTGTCAGGTGAGAGCATCTTGCTGCCCTGCCCTTTCCCCAGAGCCCGGAGGCCTTGAGTGCATGACTTCATTTCTCTGGGGTGCTGATGAACCTGAGGACGCTGAGGATTACATAGACGGCACTGTCTGTCTGTCTGTCTCTCTGTCTGTCGCTCTGAAGGCCAGAGTGAGTTGTGCCTGGTATCCAATCACCAACAATTTCAGGGGGAAAAAAAAAGAGTGAAGCCCTTCATGTTCCAATCTCCTTCTTTCCAGAAAGGTAAATAACGCCCCGAGGGGAAATCAAGTAGAAGATAGTTAAGTCAGGGAAGCGGAAGGCAGAAGAGGGGATAGCTTCTTTTCTGTTTCTGGGGAAACAGCAGCGGCTGCCAGGCTTTCTCTCCACAAAGCTCCCAGGAAACGAGGGACCCTCATCCTACAGCGGGAGCAGGGGAGGGGGAGCAGGGGAGGGAGAGCAGAGGAGGAGTGCTGGCATGAATTGCTCAGTAGCACACAGAAATATCACTCATAGAGAAAACTCAAGCCCAGATCTGGTGGCTCATGCCTGTAATCCCAGCTACTCAGGAGACTGAGAGCTGAGATCGTGGTTCACAGCCAGAAAACTGGAAGTGGTGCTGTGGCTTACGTGGTAGAGCGCTCGCCTTAAGCTGAAGAGCTGAGGGACTGAGCCCAAGCCAGAGTTCAAGCCCCATGACTGGCAATAACAACAAAAGAAGTCATCCCTTCATTCTGAGGGCCACCTAGAAGAGTCCCCTGCACCCCACACATTGCCAGACACCCATGCTGTAGACCACCCTGAGGTGTCCTAGTTTCCCTGGCAGGTGGCCACCCTGTGACCTGCCACCAACCCCACCACTCCCTAATCCGAAGGAGGTGCCCAGAGAAGCGGGGTGCAGTGTGGAATCCAATTGTGCTCTTGAGCCCATGCTGGGTATGGTAGGGAGGGCCTACGAGACAGCACCCCCAAAAGACTTCATCCATCGCTCTAAACCTGTGAGGGTAGAGAGGAGAGCACAGTACCTCCAGACGATGATCTGCCCAGCGGAGGCCATGCTGATGGGAGAGGCGGGCTGCGGTGAGGAGCAGGTGCGGCCCTGCTGGGTGCCCAGACTCAAGGCAGCCCAGGAGTGCTGGTCTGAAATAGCCCAGTGGGCGGGGCGCCTGCGAGGAGCAGGCTCAGGTATGAGGAAACTGCCCGTGCAGAACTGCCTGTGGGAGAGAAGGGGGGAGGAGGCGTGGGGGAGGGGGAGATCCCCAGCCCCCACCCCACACGGCCTCTGCATCCCAGGACTCTCTCTCCCGAGGATGGAGAAGGAAGGAGATTGCATCTCACAAGGAGAAAGGTCTGGAAAGGTCTGGAAAGGTGGTGCCTTGAGGCTGACGTTGGGAATCCCATCCTTCCTGTCACCCAGACAGAGGCAGGGTGACCCCTGAGGGCAGCCCCCCAATGGGCCAGGAGGGGAGCAGTGATGGGAATACCAAGGTGTCACTCGACCAGCCGCCATGGGCCCAGGACAACGGCTCTTCTGGTTTCATTCCAAGGAGACTGGGAAAGGGCCTGCATGTCCACCTTGCAGGGGTTCCCTCCCCCTCCCCTTCCCCCTCCCCCTTCCCCTCCCCCTTCCCCTTTCCCTTTCCCCTCTTTCCTTCTTTTCTTCTTTTCTTCCTTCCTTCCTTCTTTTCTTCCTTCCTTCTTTCCTTCCTTCCTTCCTTCTTCCTTCCTTCCTTCCTTTCTTCCTTCCTTCCTTTCTTCCTCCTCCTCCTTCTCCTCCTCCTCCACCTCCTCCTTTTGTACTGGTACTGGGGCTTGAACTCAGTGCTTCATACTTAGTTCATGCTTAGTTTTTTTGCCCAAGGCTGGTGCTCTACCGTTTAAGCCACAGCTCCTCTTTTGGCTTTTTTGCTCGTTAACTGGAGAAAGGAGTCTCATGGACTCTGCCTAGGCTGACTTGGAACCAGGAGCCTCAGATCTCAGCCTCCCGAGTAGATAGGCTTACACTGGTACCTGCCCCCCCTTTTTTTTTTAATTCCAGAGAACCACTGGAGCACCTGGCAGACAGCTGTCCTTCCCTGTCAAAAGCAAACTAGCCACAGGAAGACCTGGGATGTTTCCCCTGCGTTCAGATCTCATGCGCACAGAATGTGTGCTCAGGACCAGGCTGGCTCTCAGCCTAGTTTCCTCCCTGCTTGGGCGGGAATGTGCACAGCGGCTGGGTGACGTCATAGGCAGGCATGCCAGGCCCCACAGCAGCCCAGCACTGCACTCCGGGACACTTTTTGGTGTGTGCAGGCTTGAACTCGGGGTCTGGGTGCTGTCCCTTATTGATTTTGCTCAATACCAGCACTCTGCTACTTGAGCCACAGCTCTACTCTTGGGTTTTTTGATGTTTAATTGGAGATCAGAGCCACACAGACTTTCCTGCTCAGGCTGGCTTTGAATGGCAATCTTCAGACTTGAGGCCACCATAGAGTCTGGCTGGAGGGGGAAGGAGGAGTGAAGAGAGGACAGCAGAACAGAGATCAGTATCAGTGGAAAGAGACTTACAGCCCCACAGCCCCTGGGTGGCTTGAGGGAAAGGGTCTGCCTTTCTTCAAGGCATCTGTCCCTGGGTGGGCTGGTTGAGAGGGGGTTCATGGGCCTTCCTTCCCCAGAATCAGGAAGAGCAGTGCCCAGATCCTCTCACGCACGGTGAAGATGCAGCCTTCCCTGGGCCAGCCAACAGCCATCCTCTTCTTTCCTATGTACTCTGACCAAAGGCACAGAAATGCTGCCAGATCCTTTGATCACACATCTCCCCCAGCGGGGTGTGTGTGTGTGAGAGAGAGAGAGAGAGAGAGGAGAGAGAGAGAGAGAGCGCACACCCAGGGGCAGCCTCTGCCACTCCTCCTGAGTGGGGCTGAGAGGCGTTCTGCCACTGCTAGAAAAGCAGACATCACTCTGGCTCTGACTCCAAAGCCTGAGTGGTCACATGCGTTAAGTAACAGAGAAAGTTGATGGGAAGCAAGTGTGTGCAGTATGTGTGCATGTGCACACACACACAGAACCCTCAACGCATGAGTCTCCAGTCCACCAGAGACTCTGCCCTCCGTCCACACTGCCCTCCGTGGCCCTCCCCACCCTGTGTCCAGCTCTCTTCCCTGCCCCTCCCTCTGTGGGCCTGTCCCCGACCTCTCTTCATTCTGAATGTATGCGTGCCCCTTGGAGGACCTCAACTGGTGGAGCAGCCCTCGGATCTAGGGACCCCAGCATCTGCTACTGTGCCCCAGCCTTACAGGGGCCTGGTCTAGTGGACACCTGTGCTCTCTTGTCCTTCCTGCAAGGACCCCAGAAGCAGAAAACAGCACCTGCCATCTCTCTATCTCTAGCTCCACTGGAGACCCAGTGGGAGACATTCTGGGGCCTCATGGCCAGTTGCCGGGGGTGGAGGCTTCCAGTGGAATGTGAATGTGTCCTCAGAAAGATGCTATCTGGTGGGGGAAGCCCAGCAGCAGGCTGCATTCCTGCTGTCTCTCCCCGACAGCTCTGGGGTTCCAGGTGCTGTGGGGAGGGTGCCCCAGATTCTCTGGATGCATGTTGGGAATCCCAGAGAGTCTCTCCTGGGTGGGCAGGGGCAGTGGAGGCATTCCCTTAAGGTAAAAAATCCCCAGACACTATGTTTGCTTCTCCTGATGTCTTTCTCCACAAGCTGCCCATGGCCCAGACTCTCCCTTCCCCCAAGCCAAAGTGCACACAAACGCTGCTATCTAACATCTCATCCTCTAGCACATTCTGGGATCTGAGCTTCTCACAAAGGCCATCGTTATCCAGGTCCACCCCAGGGGCCTGGTCTTGTGGAGTCTGCTTTCAATCACCACACTCCCAAGCTCAGACAGAAGAGAAGGGAGGTCAGGAGAGGAAAGGGGCAGGAGAGCCAGCATCTTGCAGCAGTGCCCAGGCTGGAGCAGAGGATCCTGGGCTAGGAGGGGGCAAGGGCAGGAGGGGCCTCTCCCCGCAGGACCCCTGCGGCTCCTTTAGAGCCCTTGCACTTGCAAGGGGAAAGCACAAAGCAGGTCACATCCAGTCACACTTTTCCAATGCAGCTGTGCCACGGTGGTGACCGAGTTTGGACTCTATCCCAGCTTTGAGTCACTGCCGGGCAGCGTCTCCTCCTGACTTGGAGCTACCCAAATGAGCATGGTTGCTTTGCGGATGAAGCAGGGCAGTGCACATCCCCTGTATGTGTTTGCTGTCACCCAAGGCTGGTGCTCTACCACTTAATTCACAGCTCCACTTCCAGCTTTTGGTTGGTTCATTGGCGATAAGAGTCTCAGGGTCAGGCACCAGTGGCTCACGCCTATAATCCTAGCTACTCAGGAGGCTGAGATCTGAGGATCATGGTTCAAAGCCAGCCAGGGCAGGAAAGTCTGTGAGACTCTTATCTCCAATGAACCACCAGAAAACTGGAAGTGGCGCTGTGGCTCAAGTAGTAGAGTGCTAGCCTTGAGCTGAAGAACTGAGACAGTGCCCAGGCCGAGTTCAAGCCCCACAACTGACCAAAAAAAAAAGAGTCTCAGGAGCTTTGCTGTCAGGGCTGGCTTGTCTGTTTCAGGCCTAACTTCTAACAAGGGCAGTCTCTGTCACAGCTCTGAGTCCAGGCTGGTCCCGCATGGTGGTAAACAGTCCTCATCCTGGTCCCTTCCAAACCAAGGACACCCACACGTTCCGAAGTCCGAGGTGGCCATTGAGCCGTCGAAGGGACTTGTGGGCCTTAGGAAATGCCACAATTGCTTCTAGCAGTGGGGTGGGGAGAGGCTGTTCTTGAAGCCTATCAGGAAGTTGCTCTTCGGTTTGATTTAGGTTAGACAAACAAATTAAATTAACTGGTGGGAAAACTGGATGGCGGGTTGGAACCTCAATCTGAAACCTCGGTTTCAAGTGACGATTGTATTTGTCACTCTCTTAAATGACACCCTTGGAGTTAGGTTCTTTATTCCCCCAGAGCCCAGGCTGATTGACTTTGGACAGGACCTTGTAAATCATTCCCTTACCCCAACAATGAGGTGCGGGTTGATTTCTCAGCTCGCTGGCTGTTCACGAGTCACAGGAAAACACAAAACAGATTCCAGTGAGCTCAGCCACGACTGTTGTTCCTTTTCAGAGTGACTCTAATTAGATGAGCCATGCCTCGTGACCCAGCAACCATGGTGCTGGGGGCTCTCATTGCTATTAATTAAAGGAAGAGAGGAAAACAGACACAGAGAAAACCATGACCTGGGATGCAAGGGGGGCTCTGAGGGACGGGGGGGGGGGGGGCTGTGTGTGCATTGCTAGGTTCCAACCTCTCGCATGGTGTTCTGTGTGACCTGGAAGAAACCCTTTCACTGTACTATGCCTCAGTGTCTCCTCTATAAGGTGATCTGGGATCCGTTTTATGCCTCTCGAAAGAGGCGTCACATCTAGCGTGCTACTGGAAGGACAATTGCCTACAGCCAGCCATTCTTCCAGGTCCTGCCCCCTCCTTAAGCAACTGATAACTGTTTCCAAAGACCCGCTCCTGTCCCTGTTCAGCCTAGACCTGTCACCATACAATCCCAGCTGTGATCACAGCTGTGGTGGCTTGGTGGGTCTCCAACAGATATGTCCCTAGACTGCCGACTCCCCCTGCCTGGTCACCTTTCCTTCACTTCCTTTTGATAGCTGATTCTGTCCCAAGAGGGTCATGTACACCAAGTTCCGTTCACAGGCTGCCTCCCAGAGAACCGTGTCTGCAGCGAGTGTCTTCTATGTACCCGGTTCTAGTCCAGGTCCTGGAGGTGGAGTGGGGAGCAAAGCTGGGCACTCTCCCAGGGCAGTCAGTCTATTGAGGAGACAGACGATGCACAAGTTACATGCCAGCCGGGCACTGGTGGCTCACACCTGTCATCCTAGCTACGTAGGAGGCTCGGAGATCTGAGGATCACAGTTTCAAGCCAGGCCGGGTAGAAAAATCCATGAGACTCATTGCCAATTAACTAGCAAAAAGCCAGAAGTGGAGCCATGGCTCAAGTAGTAGAGCACCAGCCTTGAAAAGAA